GCACAATCGAGACTCTATTAGATTGCTACTACCCCGACTGCACTATTATCAGGTAAGATCTTTTAGAAATATTTGAAAAGCTAAGATACAGTTGAGTTTGTATGCATTTGGATTGGAAGTGATTATATGAACCGTCTTCATGCTCATCCTTCAACTGTTTATGGCTAACTCCGAGCTTTCCCCCCTCACTTCTTTTGATGCTTGACAATGACGACACCTTGATTGATATTTCCATTCATATTCTATATTTTCCTTTCCTCCCATTTTCTAACTTCCAGCTATTGGGACTTCGTTATGTTTTTCTTTTCGAGTTCAGATCTTAATTTTTGACGCATGACTTGTAGAAATTTTCCATTCTACCAATTTTACACGAGATTTTTCCTGTAATGCTTGAATATCACTTTTGGTTCACCAATTTTACTCTTGAGATTTTTCCTGTAATGCTTGAATATCGCTTTTGGTTCATTTCCCCTTTTTCAAGAGGACTTGAATGTATAGCTAACTTGCCATTTTCATCAACATGTTCTTTTGTGTTTTTCCTAGTTCTAACCATTCTAGTTCTATATTATTCATTTCCTTACTATGGACTCCTGATGTCAGGATGGAACATGCATTGTACATCATCTTTTGGGCATGAAGTAGTGAAAAAGATAAAAGAAATGTATTGTGACGCATTCCTTACTGCACATCTTGAGGTCCCTGGAGAAATGTTTTCCCTGGCTATGGAAGCAAAAAGAAGGGGAATGGGCGTGGTTGGCTCCACCCAGAACATCTTAGATTTCATAAAGGAGAGGGTTCGAGAAGCATTAGATAGAAATGTAAATGATCATCTCCAATTTGTTTTAGGAACAGAATCTGGGATGATAACTTCAATTGTGGCAGCAGTACGTAATTTGTTAGAGCCTACAAAATCATCTTCTCCAGGAGCAAAAATTACTGTTGAAATCGTCTTTCCAGTTTCATCAGACTCAATTTCAAGAACTTCCTCAAGTTCGACCTCAAGCCCACAATCCATTGCGAGTGATATTGTACTTCCTGTTGTACCTGGAGTAGCGAGCGGGGAGGGTTGTTCCATTCATGGTGGCTGTGCGTCCTGTCCATACATGAAGGTAGGACTCGCCGCTTTGTCTAGCAGAGTACTTTATCTGCTTAGATATTACTTTCTCCATGAACGACAAATTTTAAAAACTGATTTACAGTTGGGTTAATAACTGCAATCTGCAAGTAATTGAGAACTGTAGTTATAAAGGTTGGTCATCGGGGAATGGCTTGAGCATCCAAACTATAATATATCAATGTTCAAATATTATTTGTAAGAGGAGTCTTCTGATGTTTCTTTTTAATTTTCCAGATGAATTCTCTTGATTCACTTCTAAAAGTTTGCCATCACCTCCCTGATGAGAAAGCTGACCTTTCTGAGTACAAGGCAGACCGATTTACATTGCAGACTCCAAATGGGAAATCAGTAGCAGATATTGGATGTGAGCCAATTTTGCACATGAGGAACTTCCAGGTTAGTTTTCTTTAAGGGGGAAATCTTTTTCTTGTTGATGTGAGACAATATACTGTTAGATTCACCTTCGGATGCTTCCACAGGCTACTAAAAAGCTTCCGGAGAAGCTAGTCAGTCAGATTCTTGATTCCTAAGACAGTGGAGGGTTGAGGTCAAAAAGATGAGAAGGAGGTGGAGGTGAAGACAGAAGCATGTGCTGCTAATTAACTTGTAAACAATCCTCAATGGAAACATATTCTAGGACCGTGCGAGGATTTTTCTTAAAGCGTGGTTGCTACAACCAGAATCTGTTGTATGATAATTATGTTTCATGTGGGAAGGTTCTTAAATTGCTTACTTACAATGGTCACGAAATATAGTTTGCTTGCTATCAGATAAAAAGGAATGTAATAAAATTTTTGGTTTCTATCCCTCGCCTCTCCTCTCCATGATTGAAATGTTAGTACTGTGCAGGCGTCTGGCATCATGTTTTTCTTTTTGTTTTTGAAAGTTAGAAGTGCTTCCTTAATAACTTGGAGGCTTCAAATGCAGCAGAACTGAATCGTCCGATACTCAGCTGTTGCATACCGAAAAGAACCGATCGGTTCACTGAAGTGAGGCATGGCTGACCAATGGCTCATGAATTTCTCTCAGCAATCAATGCACAGAAAAGATGGAAATCTCATCATTTACTTTGACAGGTTTAAATGAATCACTTTTTAAGCTGGAAATGGAACCTCTCCATAATTTTTTGGGGAAATTTCACTGTAGGACCGCAGAAGGTAAATAATCTCAAAGAGCTCCCAAAACTTTCTGAAACCTCACTGCAGGACCAAGGGACCAATTTGATATTAATTTTTAGAGTGAGATTACAATAATGCCCCTCCCTTTTTATTTTATTAAAAATAAATATTTACCGGAGTTACTGTTCCGGCCACCGGAGGTCGGAGGTCCGGCCACCGGCGCTCAGGTGGCCGCCGTCGGGGTCCGGTCACCGGTGGCCGGAACAGTAACTCCGGCGGGACCTCCGGTGGCCGGAGTTTTTTTGTTTAAAACAAAGTGGCCAAGGGAGGGTTTGAACCCAGGACCCCTTGGCACACCAAAAGACTTGTAACCACCAAGCCAACCAACCCATTCAATCATAAAATGCAAATAAAACTACATATAACAAAATAAACGCAACAGTCCAAATGTAAGTGAACAAGTGAAATTAGACGATTTACAAGTGGAATTCAGAAATTTGCAACAAAAGTTAGGCAATTTACAAATAACATAATAGAAGTCATAACCCAAAATGCAAGTGTTTAAGTGCAAATGAGCAAGTGAAATTTGAAGATTTACAATAAAAGTTTATGGATTTACAACCCAAATTTGGTAAACACAAGAGAATTCACAACCCAAAATGTAAGTGTTTGAGTGTAAGTGAACAAGTGAAATTAGACGATTTACAAGTGGAATTCAAAAATTTACAACAAAAATTAGGCAATTTACAAATAACATAATAGAAGTCATAACCCCAAATGCAAGTGTTTAAGTGCAAATGAGCAAGTGAAATTTGAAGATTTACAATAAAATTTTATGGATTTACAACCCAAATTTGATAAACACAAGAGAATTCACAACCCAAAATGTAAGTGTTTGAGTATAAGTGAACAAGTGAAATTAGACAATTTACAAGTTGAATTCAGAAATTTACAACAAAAATTAGGCAATTTACAAATAACATAATAGAAGTCATAACCCCAAATGCAAGTGTTTAAGTGCAAATGAGCAAGTGAAATTGTCGAATTTCACTTGCAAATCTATAAACTTTTGTTGTAAATCTTCAAATTTTATTTGCTCATTTATACTTAAACACTTGTATTTGGGATTGTGAGTTCCATTATGTTATTTGTAAATTGCCTAATTTTTGTTGTAAATTTTTGAATTCCACTTGTAAATCGTCTAATTTCACTTGTTCACTTACACTCAAACACTTACATTTTGGGTTGTGAATTCTCTTGTGTTTACCAAATTTGGGTTGTAAATCCATAAACTTTTATTGTAAATCTTCAAATTTCACTTGCTCATTTGCACTTAAACACTTGCATTTTGGGTTATGACTTCTATTATGTTATTTGTAAATTGCCTAACTTTTGTTGCAAATTTCTGAATTCCACTTGTAAATCATCTAATTTCACTTGTTCACTTACATTTGAACTGTTGCGTTTATTTTGTTATATGTAGTTTTATTTACATTTTATAATTGAATGGGTTGCTTGGCTTGATGGTTACAAGTCTTTTGGTGTGCCAAGGGGTCCTGGGTTCAAACCCTCCCTTGGCCACTTTGTTTTAAATAAAAAAACTCCGGCCACCGGAGGTCCCGCCGGAGTTACTGTTCCGGCCACCGGTGACCGGACCCCGACGGCGGCCACCTGAGCGCCGGTGGCCGGACCTCCGACCTCCGATGGCCGGAACAGTAACTCCGGTAAATATTTATTTTTTAATAAAATAAAAAGGGAGGGCATTATTGTAATCTCACTCTAAAAATTAATATCAAATTGGTCCTTGGTCCTGCAGTGAGGTTTCAGAAAGTTTTGGGGGCTCTTTGATATTAATTGTCTTCTGCGGTCCTACAGTGAAATTTTCCCTAATTTTTTTTCAAGTCAGTAGGCTATATTATTGTCAACTGATAAACAAGGTAGAGAAACCTGGATTCAGCCATTCAGGAGGGTAATGAGAATTCTAGTTTCTTTCATGCTACTCTTTTGAAAAGTAGAAGGCAAGGCAATAATATATATGTATATGTATATGTATATATGCAGTTTGCTGATGAAGATCACAGAATAACAGAGAAACCGACCATTATAAATCATGCAATGGATTACTACCCCAAAAAAAAAAAAATTATCCTCGAAGTCTACTATTCCTGGAGACAAAAATGTAACCGAGACTACTGGACCTCGTATATTTGTGTGATGAGAAAATTAAATATGAAATTTTTACGATATCCTTGTACTTAATTTTTCAGTCTAGAGTTATGGGTAATTTTTTCTTTGGATTGTACTATCTTTGAATCATATAGTTACCAACTTGCTTATCAAAATAAGCTGTGAAAACAATTTTTTAATACATTCCTTATGTTTACCTTAAGGATCTCTCAACAACTCTCCCTTTATTTTAATTAAAATATATATTTAAATTGTAAACAAATTGATCCTAAGGATTCACTCGAACACTACGATACCGTGTCTGAAATCATGCCATACTCGACTCGACCATAAGTACATGCATATGTTTTAAGTTAGCCAGTGCTACGTAACAAAATTCTATCGTTTTATTCCAACAAAAAGGAAAAGAACAAAAAACCAAACTACAAAACAATATCTTTATATTCTGGTTTTGAAGGCAAGGGGGAGCAACAAGACGTGAAAACTGAGAAACAGATCATTCCTCAGCTAAACAACACCCCATCGCTAAAGACATAAATTCCCACCCAAGCCGGCCGGCCTCGAAACATCCTTCAATTGCCAGGTAAAACCTATCGATGATTCCTATGTATATTTATCCCCATATATATTCTCCATCTTCTGGACCTGTGATTGCGATCTCACATAAATAAAGAATCACATACACCTTTGCTAATAGTACAGTACGCACCTCGTATAGCTCTGCATGTGTTGAATCCGTACATATATATGGAGCGAAGGCTTGACAAAGAGGGTAAAGGAGGATCAGTAATGCTGCAAAAGAAGTTGGCGGAGACGCGGCGGAAGTCGCAGCCGGTGCCGGACCTCAGCGACTTCATGACGGACATGTTTTTTGGGACAGTTGACAAGGACAAGAAAAGCTATGACCTTACTGGTGGAGCCGGAGGGGGCAGTGTATTGTCGGAAAACGACGACGATGTTGGATTTGACGACAGCACGAGAAGCAACAGCAGCAGGATGACAGAGGAGTGGTTGGAAGAGGCGCGGCACGTGGTGGCGGCGTCTCCAACACGATGCGACTCACCTCGTCGTCTTGTTGGATCCCCAAGGTTTGCGGCCACTGCACAAGGAACGCCACCGGCGGCTTTTCGGTTTTTAGATAGAAGAGACCCTCTTTCCAGGTCCGCCAGAAGGTACGTCTGTGTAGAAGATACAATTTTGAATTTACTTATATACATAGCTATTGCAGCCAGCTCCGTAATGACCAAAGTTACAAGTTCCCTTTTGGTCAACTGCATATTTCCCCATTATATACATAAAATATTATAATTATAAATAGATAAAAAATAAATATAAAAACAAATTACGGACATTTAATACAATTTTTAGCCTTTAGATTATGGTCAAATGGCAAATTGGCCTGGTAAGTTTTCTGTCCCGTGGAATTGGTATCTTGGATATTAGATTGTGATTGCTGTAATGTTCCTTCGAATTAGTTTTAGAAATGGTGCAATTTAATCAATATTGACCATAATCATGAACAATTGTGGGAATTAGAGGCAATTTTGCCTTCAGAAAGAATAATTAGTTTCCTAAACTTTGGATTAACGCAATATTTTAATGTAAAATTTATATATTAGTAAAGAACATTGATTAAAAAGAAAAAGTGGATTTGAGTGAAACAGGAACAGAGCAGGGGAAGGGTTCGGTGGGGAGATCCTCTCGAAAACAGCTAAACACAGCCGAAACAAATCCGACACGTTATTCACTACCAAACCCTCCTCCTCGTTTGAGGATGATGGATCCCCTGCTACGGCGGTCCACAGGTGGTTCTCCAACATCCTCAAACCCTCCAATCCTACCATATCTTCAGACCCTTGTTCCGCCCCCGAACCCAGCAGATCATCCTCCCCTTTCCCGCCTCGTCGTTCCTTCCACCGCAAGTCTCGATTCCAGACCGACCCTTCTGTTCCTCCCCCACAGGCTGACCAAGTCCTTTCCCGCCGGACCTTTAGGACTTTCGCGCCTTCGCCGGAGCCTTCTACTCTCTCACCGCCCAAGAATGTCGTCGAACCTGCCGTCGGCCGGACGTTCTCCTCGCCGAACTCTTTGCCACTGTCTCCCCCCAGAAATCCTGTCCAGTCGGCTCACCGGAGAATGTTGTTGTCGTCCACCTGTTCGCTGGAGAAAATTGCGCCCGGGACGGATGCTTATGGACGGTCCAAGAAGGGAGAGAGAACCGTAGATCATTCTCTCAATCGTTTTCTTGAAGAGCAGCGGATTTTAATTCAGAAAGTGATGAACATGGAGCTCAATGCAAAGACCACAATTGTGCTCTCTGGGCCTTCTAACAGTTAAGTCTCACCTCCCCCTTGTCAATATATGTTATCCCTGCTACAAAATATTGGTACTTTCTATACTACTGGAGTCCTTAACGTGGGACATTTCAATCTTGTGCAAGCTTGTTTTATCAAATATGTTTGAAATACCTATCTCTAATTTTAAATCAATGGGAGTACGACACGTGCTAAGGGGAATGTGTGAAGTGGCGTTTAGGCTACAGAAAGTTTCAATTTTATTGCTGTGAAATGTGAAGGTTTAATGAATTAGTTTATGATTTCTGAAGTTGGAAGGTTGGTTGCAAGTGACATATGGGTGTCTTTGTATCTTTTTTGACGACATATGCTTTACCTGCATGAATTAATGTGGAAAAAAAGGCTTAGTAATTCAATTTGTGTAGTGCAGGTATAGCATCAATGGTGGCTGCCATATGTTATGCCTGGCTGTTGTGGTATAGGCAAAGGGAGAAAGATGATGGAGGAGACAATGTGGTAGTTCCTGTTATGAATGTGAGGCGAAGTTCCATGTTGAAGCTAAGGCAGGCTGCTTGGCTCTTTTTCCATGCTGGCCTTGACGCTACCTCATTGCTTTTTGCTGACGAGGTGAGATTTTTGTTATGTTCATACTAAAAATCAATTTAGATGGGACAGGTGTAATTCTTTTTTGCATGTTCAATTGTTGACAATGTCTGATAATCAATTATGCATTTATCCAATGCTCTACTGGCGAACAAGGGTGTCCTTGCAATACTTGACAACCTTTCAGCGTACCCATATCCCAAAATGCTTGCATATAAATGGCCTTACAAGTTATTTGCCTTCACATAAAAGTTGAAAAGCCAAGTTCAATTGAAATATTCTTCTAATATTATGATTTATGGGGAAAAACTGAAGTTCTCCCTCATGAATCATGATTGTCTATCTACTTGGTACGTTGATGTTGTATAAATAAATAGTAGGTTTCACCAGAAAAAAAAAAAGTAGGTTAGATGAGCTTTGTATTGGTTGCTAATTTGTTCTGCAAACTTGTTTGCAGGTGGACTTGGAAGACCGTATGGTGTCTGGTCGACTGACCATCCATGTGGTTGGACAAGATATCCTAAGTGCTACTGGCGAGGTATCAAATTTTAAGAACAAGTGCGACCCCAAAGTTATGCGCAATAAAGCTTGGTACTGAGTTTTATATATGATTTTATCTTTATTTTGTTCCTTTAGGTTGGGTCTATGTGTACCATTCTTACTGATAATTATTGTGAAGATGCCTATGATCTACTTCGAGACCCTGTGCTGCAGAACCTTCTGGTAATTTGATGAAATAATGTTAAGTTCTTTTTGGTGATATGAAATCATCTCTCTTGCTATTTCAAGAAGTGATCTGGGAAATATTTAAGTACTATAAGACTGAATAGTCTCTTCCCACGTGTAAATTTGCAGCTTTCTGGCATTCTGCTGGACACTCAGAATCTGAAGGCATCAGCTTCATCATCTATGACAAGAGATTCAGAAGCTGTCCAGTTGTTACTGGTTGGCTCAGCCCCAAACTACAGATTTACTTTATTTGATCAACGTGAGGTTCATTGTTCTCCTTATTGAAATTTATATGCAGGAAGTTCATCAATTATCTGTTTTGTTCTATCAATTTGTTTTGGTTTTTTACCAGTGATGCAAGATCAAAACGCTTGTTCTTTTATTGAAGCGTTACACCAGAACTACGGGAAACCTTCCGATGGAAGTAAGTATCTATATTGAGCTGGGCTTGTGAAAGTAAGTGATTATCTGGCATCTTTAACTGAGCACCATGTCAAAAACTTTTGTGGCTAACCTAACATCTGCAGTGGTGAGAACTATGATCTAATTTGTATATATTGGTCTTAGCAAGTCGAATTTAAAGATTTTCAGGGGAAAGGCTGGATGATGGTTTTGATAGGTTAACTGAAGTGAGAAGAATTGCTATGGACATGTTTTCTTGGAATGGGTTCCATTTTCTTAGAACTAATCATGTTGATAATTGCATTGACAGTTGTCTTCATCCTCAAATCTGTATTGATGGTTACATTTAAGGTGATAGTGACAAATACAACGACAGTTACATTTATAGTTACATTTGTGGTAAAGGCAAAAATATTAGTGAAAGGGGGGATTCCAGTATAATAAGTTGCACGAATGCTAAAAGTGATAGTGATTTAACTAGAAGAGAAAGTTCTAATGATCTAGAGGAAACTAAGAATATCATACAAGGCAACACATGCTAAATAATAACTAACTCCCAATATTCGGCCTCAAGAGTAACAATGTGACCAGACTTCTTTATATACATGGATCTGGAATATTATTCTTTATCTGGATTGGCATTTTGAGATATATCTTGGACCTCATAGGATCATACCCTTCATTATGAGAGTAAGAGTATCATTATTTGTAGTTGGATGGTGACTTCTTTGTATAGTATATAGTTTGATGAGTGAATTATACCATTCATATCCCATGAATAATGCAACTTACTGTAGGTCATGTATTTTATGTTGATTTGATTTGTGGCTGCTTTCATTCGTAACCGCTGATGGGTAACATTACTGTGCTTTACCAGATCATTCCTTGCGGAGTTCCTGTGCTTTTACAGGTGATCAAGATTGTGAAGGAAACACAGAGCAAAGAGTTCGAGAGAGGAAGTTGGCCATTGTATCCGATCATGAAGTGGTCATACCTAATCCAGAAAAGAATTCTACTGATACAAGAGGTGCCACAACTAACAAGGTTTCTCCACAACCAGGTGTATATCAGTTTCTTTTCTCCTTTCCGTAGACGTTACCATCTTATTTCAGACATCTTGTATTAATAATTGGATAGGCTAGGTGTCAATAACTATTAAGCTTATCTTTGTTAGCAATGGAGGCGTACATAGATTGTTAGTAACAGCAGTGTACGCGGACTGGATCTCATCTTATGTTCAAAACTCGTTTCTGTTTTAATTGGGTTTGACAAACGCCATATCTATATATCTTTGTCTTAAATATAAAATTGGTGACTTTTTGTTGCAGCCAAACTTATTTCGCCACCTGTGGAATCACCTACCCCTGCACCAGCACGCACAGAGAAGGAAGCTTCCCGTGAAAAGAGCAAATTCTTCCTGGCAAGGTGGTTTGGTTTTGGTTCAAAATGAGCAGACTTCCTCCTTCGTTTTGTTTATATTGACTCAAAATTTTCATAGTAGAACAGAAATCAAGTTAGAAGTGTATATATGAATTTTTACTTGGATGCTTGGTATATGGACACTACTAGGCAAGCGTGTACATATCAGTGTAAAAGTTCCTTTCTTTCTTCATTTTTTTCTCTCCAAATTATTCATTACTTTCATACTCATCAATAATAATGCCATTTACTTTGGATTCTTTGAATCATTCACCGAAACCCTATTATTGTTGGTTTTGTGAGAGGGAATAATCCTTCTTTGGTCAAATTGTTTTAACTGCTTCCGAAAGAAACAACTGGGCAGTTCACTTGCTCTTCATCTCTAAAGCCACGTGGAATACATCAAATGTTGCATCAAATGTTACCTGCAATACTATATTCAAATTGATGGTGCATGTGAGGTTAATGATTGGCGTTTCAATGGATGCAAAATTTCCAATAGCTATCCCTTGTTTAAAGGACCTACCTTGTCGCATGATCGTGTTTGCGTGCAGATTCTCCGATTCTGCGTTGCATGTTCTTGTAAAATTAGAGAGATAGTGATGTCAAAGAAAGCGTGTCTCGATCAGTGTGTGTGATAATCCCTCTCTTAATTGTGTTAAAAAATTATAACACTAAACTGTAAGGAATCTACGTTCATGTATAGAAATGAATAAAAAATATTACCATTTGGGAGTGAGTGGACATTTGAATATGTCTTTTACCTACCGAACTCTTTGATTCAATTCTTCACCTACACGTATGTGTCATTAATCTATTAATAATTTATAAATTAAATATGGATAAAAGACTGAATGATGATTAGCTATCGGGGAGAGAACACTAAGGTCTCTCTCTCTCTCTCTATATATATATAATTTGTCTAATTATTAATTCTTCATTTTAAACCTTCTAATGCACTAATAAAAAAATTTGAATATACCCAATCTAGATCCCCACCGGAACGTTTATTGGGAAAAGTAGCGATTAGCAATCAAGTAGTACTTGGCAACTTCGTCTGCTGAATATTGCATTATTGGCTCACAACTCATAAATTTAAATAATTTGCTGATGTTATTGGAGAATATCCAATAAAATGATAAGTAAATAAACAATCACTCTCTTTTTGCATGGATTTTAGAGCTTAAATGTCTCGTAGTTCTTTCTACCACCATTCATCGAAACCCCTCCTCTCTTTCCGAGACGCTATTTTATGAGCAAAATACAGACATTCATGCAGTCCAAGTAGTAGTAATCTATTGTGAATTATATTCCTGTATATAAAGAAAATATATAGATTACATATTCCTTTGGTTCATGGATTTTGAAAGAATACATAGCTCTCCTTTCAAGATCAGATCAAGGAGGAGGACGGTGAATGTCCATGTGGTGGATGGAGACAAACAGAGCATGTGTATATGTGTGTGTGATCCAATCTGTCTTGTCCAATTATGCCCAATCTTTCAACTACAGCTGTAATTAACTCCCGAAACCTTCTGTTTGGGCCCACTAGCATTGTCAGTGCCTTCTCTCTCTAACTAGTCCCTATCTTGCCCACTCCATGTCGCTCCATCACTTGCAGGCCCATATGTCCTTTTCTATTCTATTTCTTGCTGGGGTTGATCAATGATGGTGGTGATGATGATGGAGCTTCAGGTTGATGATAAAATTACTCAACCTTCCAGGCATAGAGAAACAAGCAAAACTCTGATGACCCATTAACGCCAAGAGTTTCCAGTGACCCAAAGCTCTCTGTCTGAGATGATAATGGAGTTGATGAAGAAGATGATGATGACAGTGATGATGACATAATTGGCTTAAATATGAATAAAGCATGCTTTAATCCTGGACTAAAGAGCCAATCATGAACATCCCAGTATACCTCTATTCTCATTTTGCTGAGATGAATTGATTCGTTGCCTCTGAATTTCCACTGCAAATGCTTCACATGAATCACCAAATGCCCATCGATCCTTATCTCCATTTCTGGCTCAACCCCGTTTAAGGAATCGCCATTGTTGTTGATCTGAATGCTTCCCTTGTTCTTGCACTCTATTGAGATCTCATGTTTCCTACCTTTGTCATGGAATTTAGCTCTAGTGGTGAACTTCTTCTTCCCAAATATGTGTTCCTTCTTTGAAACCAAAATAGGGTCAATAAGAGCTGGCCTGCAACCTGTCTTTCTGTAGGCATCTTTCTTAAGATCACCCAGGAGCAGAACTATCTCTTCATCACAAACCACTGCTACATAGTATTCCGAGGTCGGTTCTGTTTCTCCATGAAATTTCGCAGCTTTGAGGTCCCAGAAGATATCTACAGGTTTACCATCTAGCATGAACCGCTTGGTGCCTTGCTTTCTCCAGAAGTACCATGGCTTTAGCTCAACCTTACAGGTATATGATGTTTCTCCTTCCAGGCCTCCCACTGATACCGATAGGCCATGAAGCATTGAGTTTTTGCACCATGTGACGGTGATCAAACGGCACTGATCAGCCATCTTTGTTCTATATAATGACATGTAAACCCTCTGGCCCGATCGGGTGACCGCCCCGGGATCATCAGTGAACTTATCTGCAGAAGAAAAGCAAGCCGGAATACCAATGGAGTCTTGCATTGTTGTTGATGATGATGGGTCAATCTGAAGTTGATTAGAGCAGTACAGGCCAGAAATTGAAAATGAGGGGAAAATATATGGACTGGGAGAAAGAAATCTTATGTGTGTGAGAGAGAGAGAGAGGGGGGGGGGGTGAGAGAGATCCAAGTCACAAGCTGGATGAAGGCTAGATGTTGCCAGAGGTGATCTTGGAAGGATTTATTAGAATTAAAAAGAAAAATATAGTTTCCAAACTGGCATATGGATTGGCAGAGAGTGAAGAAGCAGCCCATATTATATTATAATCTGCACATTGTGTCAAATCTCTCTTACCTGTCACCTGCATCAATATATGTATTTTTAATTTTGGTTAGAATTTAACTTCTCGAGTTCCAAACCCGCAAACATTTTTCTTAATCCTAAGTGACTTTGGTTCTGCTAACTCCCAAGTTACTTAAGAAGCCATTTTTCTTAACCCGCAAACTTCCAGGCATAGTTACAAGAAGGAAGAAGCCATTTTTCACCGGATTATCAGGATTCTTGACAGCACATGAAATGGGATTCTGATAATTTCATTTCAAAATATAAGGAAACGAATTGTAGTTCAGTTAGGTGTGAGGAATCCTGAGCTGTTTAAGACTGTTTAGACGATATATCTCATATTTCTCTGGTCTTGACACGTTTTCACTAATTTTAATGTTTTTCAACATTTAGTTGTAAGCGTGGAAGAGGAATCTAAGAAGTGGGTGGCTGGCTAGCTGCAGAAAAGCATGAGGAATCAATCTTTGCAGGGACAGATCTGGTTGCTTCAGGACAAATGAGGCTTTGTTGGTCTTCGCTTCAATCAAAAAGGAAATGGCTAAACAAACCGGTGATTTAGCTGCATAAATTATTGTTTTTTTCCCTTATGATAGGGTGATATAGCTGTGTATATTATAATTATTAGTATTATTATTATTAGTAAGCACATGTATCGTTTTATTAGAAGTAATCCTGTTCGAGACACTGTTATTATAGATAAATTACTACTACTATTATTATAGATGAACAAGTAATGAATATGCAAAACAGTTTTTAGATGATGACATGAGTATAAATCTTTGAAATAAGATCTGGACGTTTTAGATTTTAAAATTTTTCTATTTATTTTCTTAAGCAACAGCTTCAACTTATTTAAAAAATGAAATAAAATGACAGAAAATTTATTGTTTTATTTATATTATTCATATATTTAAACAAAAATATAATAAATAAAATTAAAGATGAATGAACCAATTTGAATTTAAACAGCTCAGGCAATGAAAGGTGACCACAGATCAAGGGTAATTGGCTTAGCTCATGGGTGCTTGGTTTAGTTGTGATCAACCAACTACTCTCTGGTTTTTTTTATAAGCAATTTTAGACTCGATTACGTAGATTAAAAAATTAGCTAAAAATAATAAATAGGTAAAAATTAGGAATTTTTTTTCCAAGATATTCTTATTTATTGAGGGAAAGAGTATAAAAAAGATAGTAAGAAAATTATTATAATAAAGAGAATTATGAAATAGAAATAATGTGTAATAGAGAGAGATGATAGTTTGGAAAATGAGATAATAAATATATTGAGTATTAAAATAAGTAATTAATGGGGATAAAATAAGAAATCTACTACAAAAATTTAAAACAACTTACAAATATTGCTTATATTTAGAGACAAGAGGAAAATGATAGTTATTGCTTGTAAAAAGACACGGAGGAAGTATATTACGAAACGAGTATAGTTACGTTTAATTCCTGACTTATTAAAAACAACATTTGGTTGTACAAAACAAAAAGACCATTGAGAAGAGGCATTCGAGTTGCAAAACCTTAACTGCTTAAATATTTGATGATAAGATTTAAAAAAAAAAGCATGGGATGCTAAGTACTAATCCAAAAGGTTATGAAAAAAATGAAAGCGAGCACTCCAACCTTATCTTTTAAAATTAGGATGGCATCCATCTGCCATTTTCTGTGGTGGCTCAAAATGGGAAAATTCAACGCAGGCGTGGTCCATGACTGCAATTGCATTCACTTTAGTGTGTCTTTAAAGCAATCAACGTGATCAAAAGAGATGGAACGAAATATCAAGAGATTTAAAAAAAAATACAAAATAAAATGTATGGGTTTTTACTAGGTAAAATCCCAAAAAAAAAAAAGATTTCCAGAATATTAAATTTCAAATCAGCCTTGTTCACTATATTATAATAACAACTGATTATACTTGAAAAACAAATCACAACACATTTTCAAGTAATTACTGATTATAAATTTTAGAATTCAAGAAATATTGTTTTTTGGATTTGACAATTACGTGCATGGGGCTTACAAAATATTGGCAAAATAAAGTTAAGAGACAAGCAGGCCCACAAAATGGGTAAAGAAGACAGACGTTTATGGGCCGTAATGCAAATTTGGTTGTCCAGCCTGGTCTCCAACAAAAAATCGAGTTAGACTTGCATGGCCCACTTTTTGTATTGGGACATTTGTCGGGTAGCGGGTCCTTCCCTTTGTGCCCTCCAGCCTTTTGTGCATTAAAAAGCACTATCTCTGATTATTGCATTAAAAATTAATTTTACTTTTAATTTAATTCTAAATATAAAATTTTAATTT